GCACTTGTGGAAGGGAGGAGGAGAAAAATGGATTTATGTTTGAAGGACTGGCTGAGCAGTGTGTAGCAGGCCTGCAACACCTGGCAATGATATGTTTCCTAGAAGTGGGGTCTGATCACAGGACACCTGCCTGCTGTGGAAAGGGGACCCCTGTGATTAATGATTTTGCCAGCTCAGAGGACACCAGTATCACCCCAAGCCCCTCAGTGCAATCTGAGTTTTCAACAGGCATCTGGTCACAGAAGGGCATATGCTGGTTGTATATTTTTAAAATAATTGCCTTCGTGGAGTAAGTTGGACAAGCTGTGCTGCTCTGCTCTGTAACCTGAGGGCAAAATCAGTTTCACCAGCAGCTTGCTCAGTGCTCACTAATAGGTCACGTATAAGGAAATTATCGCAGGAGTTGAGAGCAGAAGAACAAAAAGGCAAAACCCCCCCAGCAGAGAAGCCCAAAAGCCCAAACTGAGAAGTCAGAGGTATTGGCTGAGTGTTTGTGAGCATTTCCCACCACTGACAGATGAGCAAGGCAGTGCCTCATTGCCTCAAGGAGATCCTTACTGAGTGTGCTTTATGCCCCTAAGCAGACACGCGGTCCAACCCAGGAGTGGACTGTTGGCCTCAGCATTTACCCAGACATGAGATTTTCTTCTGTGGCTCTAAAGGAGTCACAAATGGCCCTAAGAGGCAGCCTTTAGACAGCTGAAATGCACTACTCTGCTAAAGAGGGATTCCTGCCATCCTGTAATCAATTATCTATGTAGTATCTTATTGAAACTGATTAATTATTTTCAGGTTTTGATTTTCAATATTTTTGATGCATTTGAATAATAAGTACAGTATTTGGCAGCTGCCTTTAACATTCCCTATTTTCATGCCATAACATTTACTACCTCCAGCTAAAAGCAGCTTCTCACTAAATTCCTTATTGGCCAGCAGTGTTTCTCATGTGATTTGCATCACTGTAAATGTGAACAGACTGAAAAAGGCCAATTAAAGAGGGTTGTTTGGCAAACATTCCCTTTTTCTTTATGGGTGTTCTTGCTCTGCAATCTGGAACAGAAGGAAAGCAAAAAAAGAGCATAAAATGTAACAGTGGAGCATGGAGCCCATCACTGGTTTCTCTGTTTGTGAATTGGTTCCACCTGGAAATCAGAGTTATTTACCTAATGTATACCTGTGTAACACCTCCCATCTGAGGATTTTTAAGTACTTAATTAGACCATTCAATGCTCTTGTGAGGCTGTTGCTATTCACTTTGTAGGTAGCTGGCATGGAGATGGGTAAATAATTTATTGGCAGATTTATGAGACATGGCTACTCACCTGTTTTTTCTTGACTGCTAGCTTATATAGCTTGCAAAAGTAAACTTCCATTTGTTACTGTATGTATCTGCTGTTCCTCAGGGAGTTTACACCATCTAAATAATAACAACAAAACTCTCCAGTGGGAAAAACAAAACAACAACAACAAGAAATAGCACAAAGTAATTGGTAATTAGTGCTTTAAAATTTGTATGTAAGTGAATTTTTCTGATTTCTCAATAACTTTCAAACTTCTGGGAGAGACAAATTTGGCTACTGGCCAGATTTTGCTTGAGAAGATTTAATAATACAGTGTCTATGTTGGATCCACTAAGGTCAGCCAGCTAATCTACTGTCCAAAGTAGTATGCAGAATTATCTCCCTTTCACCTAAATTCTGTGGGATAACTGTTTATATGTAAAGGGATTTTTTTTTTTTTTTTTTTCTTTTTTGTACATTAGAAAAAGTGCTGTGGGATCCTACTGACTTTGTTTAAGTAATCCAACATGACTTCTGTTTGCAGAGCCTCTCAGAATTTCCCTCTTCACAGTCATTTGCACAGGTTGTATTCAATCCGTGATATGTGCTGGTGAAGGGGCAATATTCAGCATCTTCCCACAGCCTGGCGACCTCTGAAAGCCATAAATATCTTCTGGCAACTAACATCAATATAGAGGAGTCTCATATTTGGAGAAGGAGATGTGAAAATTGTTTACAGTTATATCTGTGTCCCGGGGTGTTTCATGTCTAGAGGCTTGTGCTGGGTGCTCTGCCATACACTTCTCTTGTATTCAAAGCCAAGAATATAGATTTTCATGTTTGTTTCTAATTACATAGGATGAAACTCCTTTCTTTGGGTCTTTTCATTAGTCTCATGAGATGTTTACAGGTCACTGACTTCAATAATAGCCAAAGACTTTAAAGAGTCAGCATGGACAATTCAGGAACTCCTCAATATTTTCTGTTCTGACATTTGTAACAAATCCTTCTGCATGAGTTTTTAAACAGTAATTGCTTGGCGTCAAAGTTACATAAAGTTACATCATTATCTGATTTTTATATCAATTTAGAGAAACAGATATTTCAGAATTTTGCAGAGTTAAACATTACAAAGTGAACATATTTATACTTGTTCCATTCACAGTGAAAAAAAAAAAACACCACTACCCTCTAAGTTCATAACTACTATGATTAGTGGAATGTCTAGTACAAATTCCAGGCTATTCATTTTTGCTGTGATTCTCATTAAAATGTTCAAAAATTGTAATGGATTTGCCTCAGTGACTTAACTTGTAATGCGTCTGTAAGGCAGAATTCCATCAGTTAAAGAACTTATCATAGCTCAATTACTTCATGATTGCAGATATTTAAAATAATTCAGAATAAAATTTAAAAAGTGACTATGAGTTGACATAAATTGAATGTTACAATTACTGGAACATAATTCAGAACCTGTAACAAACCCATAGACTTTGGCAGGACAGCATGGATTCAAGTCAATGGTAAATAAGTTTCTTGAGCATGAAGAGCCTCTTAAATGAAATCACAAAACCATGTAAGCATATGTTGCAGCCTTCGGTCTTTCTGCATATCATGTCTTATGAAAGTATCTTCATATCAGATGGGAAAAAACACTTTTGTTTTCCTTCTCTCTAAAAGAGTAGTGAAACAAGCAGTCTAGATGAGTTCCAATTACAACAGGAATTACACAGCAAGAGCTGGACTATATCCTGGATGACCATGTGAGTGATCAAAAGATATGTATTATAGGAATGTGCAGTTATGTTGTGAGAAATTATTCTTTCATTCTCATCAAAGGCTTCACGCATCTCAGTGAAAAAAAAAATCAGTATAGCAAGTCTTATCAACGCATGTGAATTTATCAAAGCCCTCATCATCTGATGCTGATTTTCCACTGCTTGTAAGTAAAGATATAAATTATTTATTTATTTCTTATTTATAATCAAACAGTCCTGATGTTAGTACTTAATAGTACTTAATATAGTAGGAGTAATTTCAGTCTATGTTTCTGACTGTGGCCCATAGCTCTTACTCTTTAACTCATATCAAAACTTATTTTTTCTGCTCTGCTTTTGTGCTAGCAGCTTCCTACACAGAGAGCTGCAGGCCTTCTATACCTCAGCATTTTGCAGAGTAAATGAATCAACACCCAGAAATTACAAGCAGGGAATCAATGTGGTGTTGGCAAATACCACATTTACTTATTTTCTAAATTTTAGACAAAGTTTTCTTACAATGGGAGAGTTGTTTACAGTAATATAAAGCAAATGGAAGCTGATGAAATGAAAAGAAGACGGAAGCTGTGTCTGGTTTTGGACTCCTCAATATGTGAGATATGGACATACTGGAGAGAGTCCAGCAGGGTTTTGAAGATGCTGCAAGACCTACAGCCCCACTCCTGTGAGAAGAGGAAGAGAGAGCTGGGCCTGTTCAGCATGGAGAAGAGGAGGTTCTGGGGGACCTCATCAGTCTACATAAACACCTGAAGGAAGATGTTGAGAAGACAGTGGTGCACAGTGCCAGGACAAGAGGCCGGGGGCACAAACTGGAGCACTGTTGGTCGTTCTGAGCAGCAGGCAGCACTGCTGTGCTGTGCGGTGTCAGAGCACTGGCACAGGTTGCCCAGAGGCCCTGAGGTCTCCTCCTTTGGGGACTGGGCCCCTCTGTGAGTGTCCCTGCTGGAGCAGGAGTGAGCCAGATGGCCCAGAGGGTCCTGCCAGCCTCAGCCATCCTGGGGTTCTGGGATAAAAGCAGAAAGAAGAGGCGAGGATAGTGAACTCAAAGTGAATTAATAGCAAGGAGAAAGGTTGTCAGGGTGAGGCAGTGGATGCTGGACCACGTGGAGGAGGGCCAGGAAGAGAAGTCACAAACACCTCACCAGTGTCTCTGCTGCAGTGTCTGTTGGACAGCAGCTTCTTCCACTTCTTTTGCTTTCATTCTTCTTTGAGGCCCTGAGTGACTCCTCACCAGCAGTATTTGTACTCCCTGAGCTCACACTGCTCGAGGAAGCTCAGACCTTTCTGTGTCCCAGAGGGAGCCATTTGTGCCTGACTAGAAAGAGCCGTGGCTTCCACTACCCAACTTGCATCTGCCCTTGGGTGACAGGGACTCTTGACATGTGATGTAGCGTGCTGGGTTATCTCAGGTGATCTGGAAAACTGCTCTGAAACAGCACATCATTGTGGTGAACTGAGTCTCAGAATCAGAATCAAAAAGCTTTTCTGCACACAGGTAGCAGCAAGAAAAGGACTCATGACTAACCAATTACTAATCAACAGAGTAGACATAAATATTGATACAAGGTCTCATGACTAAAGAATTGTGTGGAATTAAGAACTGAAGGAAGTGCTGCTGTGTGTGAGTTATTGTGTGGATTTTACTGATTGGACTCTGGTAGTCTTAGATGGAAATGGGTGCACACTGTTACAGGGGGAACGAATCTCTCTGGGGAAGTGCAGTTTTCTCCTGGTGTGAAGTTATGCTGTCACGTGTAGACTCAGGTCAGCTAACATAAACCTACAAACAGCACATGCCATGGCTCTGCGCGGTTATTATATCGAACTTTATACAGTTGTATGTGGATTTAATAATAAGCAGTGCAGAAATGGATTCAAGTTTTATTGTCTGCTTTAAATATTTGTATTGCTATAATGGAATATTGCCCATTTTTCTCGGTAGGTGCCAGCTTGCGTGATGACCTCAGTAAATACTTCTGGTTTCATCATTCTCAAGGGGACACGATGACAGTTCAGGATCCAAACCAGATGAATCTCTGTGCTGCTGTTTGGACTGTTGTCTCCTATATAATTGCTGACATGGAAGAGATGCTGCCAAGGTAATAAAGAGTCAAGAGAGAAGATTTCTGTTCATCAGTAAAGACTGTGAGTCCCCTAATACATGTGGTCTACAGCTGTGGGAAATTCCTTTTTTCACCCTGATTTTGCACATTATTTTGTCTGTTTTCCTCAAAGCATATACTCTCTTACACATTCCTGGTTCTTTTTGCTGTTTTAACGTTTTCCATTTGTGATTTTCACAGTTTCCTGAATACTTTTAAAATTTCTCATGAAAGTATGGTATCTCTTTGGTATGATGAAGTAATCATTTGTATGCAAACTGATCATTTGCAGTAGGAAAAATACAACAAAATAAATTTGTTGCATCAGAATAATTATTGTGTTGAGTACGTATTCATGGATTTATTTTCTGTCTTTCAGCCCGTGTATTCAAATGATGTGCAATTAATCTTTTTTTCTTACACTTTTAAGATAATAATGTGCTTTTCAGTCCCACAACAAATTTATCTCAGCTGTTTTAATGGTAATGTATGGTAAAATGGTCAAACTAGTAAAATAGCACGGCTTTTAATAGTTCACTCAGTTCCTGCTGTTAAATCTTATTAAAAGTTACTTCATGAAAGATTCAGATAAACCGGGATAGAGGATAGGAAGTCAGTAACAGGATGTCCAGATCTCTAGATAGCAGCAGCTCCCATGTGTTTTTGGTCACCTCCCCACAGAAATCTGTGCCTTGTCCCCTTCTTTCTGATGGAAAACTCCCCGCGGTGATATGCAGAGAATTGCATGTGGCAGTTTTTCTCTGAAATCCATGATGTTCCAGAAACAGCCATCAGAGTTGTGATCCGTGACCTTCACTACCTGCCAGCTGATGTCCAAACGAAGCATAAAAGCAGATTTTGATTCCTGATGCTGGAGCCATTCACAGAACAGCCCTCTTTGCTGGGGTGCCCTTCTCTGCTGGAACAGAGGCAAGAGGACCCTGGCACTGGGCACTTTCAAGGAAGAATAAATGTGGGAATTTAATTCTTGCTTTTGGTTGGTTGTTGTTTTGTTTTCCTGCTGAAAGATTATGTATATTCAAACTTTCAGAGCTGTCAAGAGATAAGATGTGACTGCTGTTGGGAAATGTTATGGGGCATTTATTTCTTCTCATTTCTTTGTGACGTGGTGATTTCTTCTCCTTTTAAGTTTTGCAACAGGCAGCCTTACTGATGTGACCAAGTGTTGCAGTCTAATCAACACAAAACAACTAATGTAACAGGGTGTTAAACTGAATGGCAGCCCATCTCTGGTGCTGTTTATGAGTTCAGTAGTTGAGCAATAGCTTTATGATGAGCCATTCATTTTTATGGGATTAATAACTGCGATACCTGTTTGCCACATCAACTCTATTAAATATTCCAATTTTTCTTCCAAATCATTTCAGGAACATAAGGGGTGCCTAGAGATATCCTGCTATTTAGTTTTTGAAGAAATACTATTTAGAGAAAGATACCAAAATTTCCTCTGCTTTCAAGGCGTGACATGTGTTTGTTTTTTCTTACTTACATGACGAAAGCGTAGCAAGTGGTGCGTATCACTGATGGACCCTCAGCTGCCTCTGAATGCAACCTTTTGACCTTCACAGATATTACTGGATACTTCTTCATTTTTGTTCTAAAACCTTTTTCCTTGAGGTATGGTGCTTTGCACATCAGAAGTTCAGGAGAGTTTTCAGTGAAATTATATTTGTTGTTACAAGTCTTCACCTGTGCTCACCTCAAAACAGGCTTTATTTGTGTGGTTTTTTCATCTGTAGATGAATTAAATTCTTAAATGCCTCAAGTCAGATCTTTTGATGTCTTTGGAGTCAGGAATGGTCTCTGGAGAGGAGAACAATGCTGCTGTATGTGCGTTGACTCCACGGTACATCCCAAGATGAGTTTGTTGGCTCATCGATTAAATAAGATAAGCCTTAGAAACTAAGGTCATGCTCCTGATGAAAAGTGAACCTTCAGAGCAACTTTGGATGCATAGAAGACCTGCAGAACAGATGTAAAAAAAAAATAATTCAGGAATCAAAATCACAATCTTTCTGTTATGTTAACAGTAAAATTAAAACTTGTATTTCTTGAATTGAAAACCAGTCTTTTTTTTTTCCCTAAAAAAGCAGGGTTTTATTAAAATAAGATTGATCTTTTTGACTCACCTGTTCTATTTTGTCTGACTTGTAATGGTTCTCAGATCTTAAGTTTCAGATGCTCGCATTATTCTCCTGATGTCCTTGCTCGTTGAGATGTACCTCTCAAAAATTTCCATAACGGAGAGATGGTAATAAATTTCTTTCCCTGTGGGTTTTTGTACTCGCTGTGCAACAGCTCCTCTTTATCCACGCTCAGTGTAGCAATTATGCTTTTCCAATAGCTGGCAATTAAACATATATAGGATAGTCAGTTTTCAGTTCATGAACACTTCTTAAGTGATCCAGGTCTAGCAACATAACTTTACTTTCCACTTGTACACCACTGTGACACTGTTGTCTTACCTTAACTGAGAAAGCAGAAGCTGAGGATTGTATTTCTATTACTATTATTGTCAGCATCAGCTGTCATAAATATGTGCTTTCCATAAGTATTTTGATGACATTCTAAGATACAGAGACCACGTATATGTTTCCCTCTGATAAAATAAAATACTGTCAGCTTTGGACTAGATTGCTTTTTGCCTGAAAAGGTCTGTGAGCTTAGAGCTGAAAAAAAGAGCAGTAGTATTTAAATACGTGTCAAAAAATTTCAATTTCAAATAAACATTTTCCTGAAGGTATTACAAATCTCTCGCATCCGATGAGAAGAAGGGAAGCCCCTGGGCAGGCTTCCTGTTTGCTACAACGCAAAGCTTTCAGACATAGTTACAGAGGGACGAGTCAGATACATAATTCATTTACCCAACTAGATGATAGCACAAGTGCTGATGAAAAATCTCTTTTCAATTCTACACAATGTAACATAGGTAATTTTGCCAGTAATAAAAGGAAAAATAGGGGATCAGAAAGCAAGTTGCTGCTTTTGTTCTTCGTAAGTCAAAACATTATTGGAATTTCAATCCCACAAGATTTTTACCTCCCCTAAAATAATTAAAAGCAAAGAAAGAGAGCTATTTCTTGGGACAAGGAAACAGCTTCTTCTGCTGTTACACTGCAAACGTTTCTGGTATATTTAATTAGTATGCTCCCCCCGTAACAGTTTGAGACTCTTCCATTTGCCATGAGTAAATATCAAACCAATCTTGATATCTATATCTGTCTCATGAAATATACATATCATCTAAATGTGCCCAAATGATTAATTTACTGCTGCGTAATGATTAGCATAAAAATCTCATCATTGCACAGGATAGAAATGTTACCACTAATTGCTGGTTGAAGTGAACAATGTTTTCTGCATAGAAATTAATGATGCGTGCATCACAGCTCACTCTTGAATGGGAAAATTCAAGACTTTCTGGAAGAAAAACTTCTTGATTTTTTTTGTTCTCTTTTCTGCTAAATGATATGTGAGCCTGATCACGTATCATAGAATCATAGAATTGTTTGAGTTGGAAGAGACCTGGAAAGGTCATCTGGTCCAAATGCCCTGCAGTTAATAGGGATGTCTATAGCTACATCAAGTGCTCAGAGCCCTGTCCAGCTTCACCTTGAATGTCTCTAAGGAAAAGGCATCCACCGTGTGTTCACCATGTGTGTAATGGAAAGAAGTAATATTTTGTCCATAGTTACTTCTGGAAGCTCCAAACCATTTGCATGAAGATTTGACCAGCTATGGAGCAGTGACTTATAGTTGTTTCATAAATATGTTGTACAAGCACCTGGTGGAAGACTTCAGATATCTCCCTTCTTATTTACCTTCTCGGCACATGGAAGAGGGACCTTCATGACAACTTTATATTCTGCGCTGTCTTTGGCTTGCAGTTTGGTTTCACTTCAGAACAGGCCAGCCTCCTTTAGTTTATGTTATATTTTAATTTTCCAAGTCTTTTTGGTGTTTCATTCTATCGTTCTCAGTGTGTGTGCAGTTATATGGGTATTAGAAAAGACTGCCTGACTTACAAAATCTGCATTTTTCGTGCCTTGGGCCTTAGAAACTGCAAAATGCAATTGAGATGACTCTGAAGAGCACAAGGGTAAGAGCTCCATCAGAGCCTCCACTTGCTGATGTCCTTGGCCTATGTTATTGGCAGGCAGAGCTTTGTGATAAGTGAAGGGAACATTTTCTAAAGGTGAAAGGCAGGGTATGGAAACTAACGAGGGCAACTCCAGAGGAGAGACTGCAAAGAGCAAGGCAACACAGAGGCCAGGACAGTGGCTTCAAGTACTGTCTTTTCAGCTGCTTTGCAGGGTGAGTTGAGGAGCATTACTTGAATCTACCTCAGGTTCACTAACAAATAGAGGCAGTGATGTTTGTCCTACTCTCTCATGCCTGGTGTAGCATGATTTAACAACACAGCATTAAAATTCATAATGCATGTAAAATGTAAGTGAAGGTCCCATTGGAGGACAAGAATGAGACATTAAGGATGATTAGCCACTTGAGAACTCATCTGCAAAATGCGTACAGTTTAGTAGTTACTATTTGCATTTACATTACTTGCATTATTTGCATTTACATTACTATCTGCATTTGCTATTTATCATGACAAATAATAAGAAACATTTCTCCTCCTGATAATGCTGCTTTGAAATAGAAGTTGGTCATTAGGCATATCTATTTTAAAGTAATGCTCTTTTGAATCCAGGAAGGATGTGGGGCAGTTGCACGTGGTGCTATTTATATATTTAATTTCCCAGCTCTGCACTATGACATTGCAGATACTCTTTCACAGTCACCACAGCCTACAGGTGATTTTTCAGTATTATTGTGGGAAGTCTTTTCTAATGGGCAAAGAAAGGAAGTCAAATGGTTTTCCAAAAGCCACACAGCCAGACAATCCTAAATCTAATTTTGGTCACAGAAGTTCCTGTCTTTGCCAGGCTGTGCACCTATTAATGAGATGTGACTTTCTTTTTATCTTACGATCATTTTGAAGCTGAAGTGTAATATTTTGCACAAGAGTGACACTTTTGAATCTGGACTGCAAATTCAAGAGAGAGAAATGAGAAAATCACTTTATTTTTTTCCATCAGCTAACAAAGTCACTGACTTCTGGAAAGAAGGCATGGAGATTTAAACCCTTTTTATGAATCTTAAAACATATTCAAAAATATCTACACCAGTTTCCATCTTTATGCATAACACAGAAAAGCTTTCTTATCCTGAAGATTACATCTCCATTTCTACTTTTTTTCCAAGTATGTACTTCACCTGCAGAATTTGCCAAAAAATATCTGGATTTACAGAGCGACAACTGTATTCTTTAGTCTTAGTAGGAACTGAGATAAAAATGCCTGCGTGCATCTTGATCAAATCCTGTGCATGCACTGAATATCTGGGAGTCTTGGAAACTCTGATTTCTCTGAGGTCCTTTGTGGCTTTCATTATAATTTTTGGAATATTTTCACTTTACTTTTCTGCATTCAGTATGTTACTAACCCTAAATCATCTATACCCCTGCCTTTACTGGTGATATTACATCAGTGATACAGCTGCAGAGATTTCATACCTTACTGCCTGTACTTAAAAGAAACTTTCTCAGTTCTTTTACAAGTCATCGTGTTTGGTTTTTTTGCTTTAAATTTCTATTACAAGGATTATCACAGAAAATTATCACAGCTTGTAATATAAGACACAACTAGTGATTGCTCAAAAATAGATAACAAAATATCTACATTTTTAATAGAAACTCCATGCTTTTTTCTCTGTACCTATTATCCAGTTTTAGCTCATCAGTCAATGGAATTTAATGAAAAGAATTACTAGAAAGTGAGTCATGGGACATTTAGGCTTGTGGAGTTTAAAAGGCATAA